GAAATTCAATTGGAACTTATAATCTTGGGCGTTGCTATGAAAATGGAATAGGAGTTGAAAAAGATATAAAGAAGGCATTCAAATATTATCAAAAATCAACAGACATGGAACAAGCTGATGGAACATATAATCTTGGACGTTGTTATGAAAATGGACTAGGAGTTGAAAAAGACATTAAGAAGGCATTCAAATATTATAAAAAATCAACAGGTATGGAACAAGCTGATGGAACATACAATCTTGGACGTTGTTATGAAAATGGAATAGGAGTATATTGGACATATAGATGGAATATATAATGTTGGATGTTGTTACCAGAACGGAATTGGAACTGAAAAAATGAACATGAAGCATTCAAATATTATCAAAAATCTGCAGATATAGGACATATTGATGGAATATATAATGTTGTAAGTTGTTATAAATACGGAATAGGAACTGAAAAAGACATAAAGAAGGCATCCGAATAGCATCCACTTTATTGGTTATATACGTTTGAAATTTCTCGAAAGAGTTAGTAAAATTAAAAATTTGTAAGCGATCACTACAATTATAGTGATCACGATAACCACAGAAACCAACCCAGAATTCGATATTTGAGTTATTGCTGTTTACGTAACTAGCAACTTTTAATATATGCTCTTTCGCTGCTTCGATATAAGGAGACATCGAGCCTGTACAGTCCAGAACGAAGCAAAGATCAACATTCATTGAATCTTCAATATTAATGATTGCCTTTAATACTTCATTTTCCCTGTTTCTCCGTCTATTAATTTGATTTGCATCATCTTCGTCACGTCTATGATTGTCTTCTAAGAGTTTCATATTGCCTATAAGCAATTTTGGAGCGCTTTCAGAATTGCAAATGATACAAATATTAGAGTTATTTGTACTACAATCGTTTGATCCATTATTGTGCGATATTGTTATACGGGATTACCATAATGGAGTGTATGGTTTACAGTTAGGATGTCCGGGTTTATGCAGCAAATAATAAAATTTCATGCATACATACGTACGTACGTACATACGATCAAAATTTAGTATAAATTTTCGTATTTCGTATGTCTGTACTGCCGTACTGCAACACTTTAACCAACCAAAGACGTACGTACGTACATAAATTGTGTAACATATCAGATATTACCGGTACAGTTGACAAAATGACAAAGTTTTCGAAAAGCTTTCAAATGATTGCCTTGAACTTCTTGATGATAAAGAAGATTTCAACGTTATTATTAATGTTGGAGAAGCACTAAATAATAAAATATTCCAAGCACACACCAATATTTTAAGATACATATCTTATATTTCCGTAGTGAATTAATAAAGATAAAAATAACATTAAAACTATTAATTTAAAATATATTTCCATTCAAAATTTTGAAATAATTATTAAGTTTTATATTCTGATGGACTAGTAAATTAAATCTTTATTTAAATACCTATATATTACGTGTCTTACGGATAAGTTTTCGTATCTGAATTTAGGGATTTAAATAAAGGATCGATGTAACGAATTCATCAAATATGATGATTATTTAGTTTATATATGTTTGTGAACTAATTTTATTATTTTGAAGTTTACTAGTTTTTTTAAATAACTAATAAAGATATGTTTACGGAGGAGTGGTTTTGTTAGAAAAAGATCAAGATGCGTCATATATTTTTAACCTTATTTTTGTGGATTTAGTAGATTTCCCCGACAACCCTTTACCCGACAACCATTTCACCGACGGCCATTTCGGCGACAGCCCATTCCACGAAACTATTTCCCATTACCCCGACAGTTCATTTCACCGACAATCACTAGCCAACACCACCTATAAAGCGTGTCAACCCTAACCAAAATCCAGCCAAAATTGTCGGCGAGATGAATTGTCGGGGAAGTGGCTGTCGGGAATGGTTGCGGGAAAGTGGACTGTCGGCAAATAGAAATGGTCGTCGGCGAAATGGGTGTCGGGTAAATGGTTATCGGGGAAATCGGCTTATACTTATTTTTGTTGCTTCCGAGTTTCATCTTGATGAATTAGCAAAACACCTTGAAACACAGTTGGAATTTTATCATAAAAGTTTCCAAAATGAAAAACTTCAAGAATTACGGAAATGGTGCAATGATGTTATAACAAAGGATCCATATAAGGCTTTGAATCAGAAGATTTTATTTATTTCACTCATTAAACAGACGATTTACAGATGGAAGAAGGGAAAATTTGGGACATGTTATTAGATGGCGAATCGCTCAAAATGTGGATTTACCGTTCAATCCTAAAAAAATGGTCTCAAGAAAACTTCTTAACATCAAAGACTACTTTACATAAGA